GCCCCTCGGCGGGGCCGAAACCAGCTGCATGCAGCAAGTGTCGTAACCCCCCCTTTCCCAATCCCCCCCTTTCGTCCGGCCCGAGCCTTGGACAGGAAGATGCCGGTAGCTCCCTTGGTCTTCTGGTCGCCGCCCTTCCTCAGGCTCGTGAACCGGGCGTCGCTGGACGCGGCGGCGGCCCTGCGCCAAGAAGACTCCATGCGCTCGCAGCCCATCTCCTGCAGGAAGCCGGCCAGCTGGTGGAAGATGCCGCCGAAGTTCTTGCCGTTGACCTGCACGTAGCCCGAGCTGCGCAGCTCGACCAGGAGGTGCGGTATTCTGGTCTGGGAGTCCAGCTGCTGCAGCGCCACCAGCGTCTCTGCCTGCTGCGTCTCGAGGTTCTCTCCCAGCCGCGCCTTGTGGGAAGGCCCAAGTCTGCCCCCAGCACGACGTACCCCCAGTGGAGTGTCGCAGCGGCCATGGCTTCGGCCGCGGCCACGGCGTGCGCGGAAGCCCAGCCTCTAGGCGGCCCCGCGGCGGGCCCGAAGCCCTCCTCCAGGGTACGTCTGCTCTGGGGGATACGCACGTTTGACCCCCCGTCGGGGGCGACGACGGGGGCGAATAGCCCAGGGGAGAACACTGCATGTATCCCGAGTCGCCGATGGCCCATGCCTTCGGCGAGGCTCCCGGGCGAATACACGTAAAAAATGCCCGCCCCCAGGCTGTTCGCCCCGGTCGACGCCTCCGACCCTGAGCCTCCAGGTCGTCTTCGTCGTCGTCGTCGTCTTCCACGTCCTCCTTCGCCTCGCCCGCGCTCGCGCTGGCGGGCGCCGCGGTGCTGCCGGCCGCCGGCGCGGGTGGCCCTGCAGCGGCCGCTGCCTCGCTGACCGCTGGAGCCGCGGCGGGCGCGCCGCCCTTCCTGGGGGCCCAGGCGCCGTGCGGGTCCTGGCCGCCGCCGTGCGCCCTGGGGGGCCGCAGCCTGCCGCACTCGTCGCAGAAGCTGGCCCCGGCGGCGAAGTCCACGCCGCAGGCGCACGTCTCCCAGCTGCCCGAAGCTGACACCTTCGGCGGCGCGCGTGATCATCACATGTGTATGTAAGCATGTATGTGTATGTATAGTTGTATGTGTAGGTGTATGTCTATGTGTATGTGTGTATATTCCTCTTTCTATATTTTTACAAGCCCGGGCGGCCGCAAAACCCCGCACCCCCCCCCCCTCAAACCGGACTCCTGGGATCCTGGGGCTTTGGGACCCTCCGGACGCCCATTGAAGCGGTCCCGAGTGCCTCAAGAGCGCTCCAAGACAGGCACAAAGCGCTCCAAGACGCCAAAGATAGCCCCAAGACAGCCTCAGGAGCCCCCAAGACGCCCCAAGCGGCCCCAAAGAAGCCTCCCAAGACGGCCCCGGGAGGCCGAAATGGTCAATTTTCCAATGTGTTTTTCGATGTTTTCTGCTTTCTCGCCATTTTAGCTTTCCGACGCTCCAAGACAGAACTAGAGGCCCTCAAGAGCGCCCCAAGATGGCCCGGGGGGCCCCCAAAACGGCCCCAACACGGCCCCAAGACGGCTCTGGAGCGCCCCGAAACAGCCCAAGAGGCGCCCAAGAAGGCCCAAGAGGGCCCCGAGAAAGCTTCAAACGAGCCCCCACAGGGCGTTCAAAAGTACAAACATCTAACTTTCCGCCCCAAGTGGGCCCCAGGAGGCCCCAGGAGGGCCCCAAGAGGCCCCAAGAGGCTTCCAAAGGCCCCGAGGACTCCCAAAAAGAACCCACGAGGCCCCAAAATGGCTCTCCAAAAGGCAGCCAAAACGGCCCCCCAAGAGGCTTCAAAACTGCTGAATCGCCCCACTTGACCGCCACCTCCGGAACGGCTTCGCTGCGCTGCTCCGTTGTTTGCCAGACAGTGGCATCCCACGCAAAACACCAAAATGCTTGAAATCCCGGGTTCGCAACCAAATTCCCGGGAAATCGGTTGCGAACCCGAGATTCGGCACATTTCCCCGGAATTCGGTAGATGTCCTTAGCATTTCCAGAATCCGGTACGTTGCCTGCATGCTTGCTGCCCTATGCCCTATCGCATCCCAGAATAATCGTCCCATGGAGGTTTCACGAGGGCCCTTCCAAGTCATTAAGGAAACATTGTTTTCCACACGTGTTCGCACACAAGCATCCGTAGCCGTTGGCTTAAATTTTTAAGCTGTCGCATACGGCACATCCTCGATGTCTGTATTCGCTTGCTCCGATTGTGGCGAGACCCTGCCTGCAGAATCATTCTCCACAACACAACTTCAGCAGTCCAATCGGGCTTGCAAGTCGTGTGCCAGTCGACGGGAAACACAGTCACGGTCAGCCCCCCAACACAAAGACTATCAATGCACTCGTTGCGGGGACATGCACGATCGAACTCACTTCAGCCCTTGCCAGCTGCACCGCTCCACTCGGACGTGCAAGGCGTGCGCCACTGACGGCCGTCCGAAGCAAGACCTCTTCTCCTGCACGCGCTGCGGAGAGCTCTGGGACAGGACCCACTTCGACGCGAGGCACCTCAAAGCACGCAGCACTACGCGGGTTTGCAATTCCTGCGCCTAGCGAGGGCGCGAGCAAGTAAGGTGCAGGTCCGGGAACTGGGCGCGAACCGGCCGCGGTTCAAAGACCGTGGAGGGCCGCGCTAGACGCCAACGCGCGCAAGGGTTGAAGGACCAAGGTGCATGGCGCGAAGCGCCAATGCAGTCTTGTATATATATATATATATATATGAGTTGGTTCATGTACATGTTTGCATGTATGTATGCGTGTATGTATGTAGGCATGCCTGCATATGTGTATGTAAGTGGCGTGCTTATGTATGTGTTGGTGCATGTGTGCGTGTATGTATGTGCGTATGTATGTAGGTATGTATGGGTATAGCTATGCATATACCGTACGTGTGTATGTTTGTATACATGTATGTATGCATGTATGTATGTGTGTATGTATGAATGAATGTATGTATGTACGTACGTATGTATGTGCGTATGTATGTACGTATGCATGAGTGCATGTATGTAGAATACGTATGTGTGTATGCATGTATGTATGCATGCGTGCATGCGTGCATGAGTATACGTGCGTATGTGTGAATGTGTATATGTATGTATGTATCTATGGTTTTATGTGAAATACGTGTGTATGTCTGGTTTACATGCGTGTACGACTGCATGTGTGTAGGTATGTGTGCATGTTTGTATGGGACGTACGTGTGTATGTATATATGTGTGTATGAATGCGTACACGCATGTATGTATGTGTGTGTATGCATGCATGTGTGTATGAATGTATGCACGTGTGCATGTATGCATGTATGTGTGTATGTCACGTGCGTATGAATACATAGATGTGTGTATGCATGCATGCAGGTAGTTGTCTATGGTTGTGTGTATGCATGTGTGTGTGCATGTGTGAAAGTATGTGCTAGGTATGTGCGTGTGTATGTAAGGTACGTTGGACTGTGCGCATGTATGGATGCGTGTATGGATCTACGCATGTAACAAATTATGAATATGCATTCATAATTGCATTCAGGTATGCATGCATGCATGTATGTATGTATACAGGTATGCGTGTGTGTATGCCTGCACGTCTGCATGTATGAAACGTACGTAGGTGTGTATGTATGCATGTCTGTGTGTGCATGTATGTGTATGTGTGTATGTACGCTGCTTGTGTGTAATGAGCGTGCGCGTGTATGTAGGTACGCCTGCATGTGTATCCATGGATACGTGCGTATATATGTTTGCGCGTGGTGATCTGTTGCGTGTATGTATGTATGAATGCGTGTATGGATGTGTATATGTATGTATGTAACGTATGTGTGGATGTATGTCTGTATGCATGCCTGCATGCAGTCATGCATGTATGTATGTGTGGTTGGTTGGCTGTATGTGTATGTAACATGCGTTTGTAAAGATATGCGCGTGGATGTATGCATGTATGCATACATGCAGGCACGCATGGGAGTATGTATGTGTACGTATTCAGGTATGGATGTATGTATGTGTGGACATGTATGTAGGGATGTAACTGTGTATAAATGTATGTGACGTGCGCACGTTGTATGTAATCACGTGTGCATGCATGCTGCATGCACGTATGAACGCACGTATGCGTGAATGCATGTATGTAGGTCTGTGCGTATGTATGTATGTGGGTATGTATTACGTATGTATCTTACGTATGTGTGTATGGATGTGTGGTTATGCATGCGAGCATGCATGTACGCATGTGTGCGTGCGTGTATGTATGCATGTACGTATGTATGTAGCGTACGCGTAAATGTATGGCTGTGTGTGTTTGCATGCATGCACGCATACTAGTATGTATGAATATAGGTATGCATACGTGTCTGTATGCATGTAGGTAACGCACGTATGTAGGCATGGATGCATGTGTGTCGAAATGTGTGCATGCATGCATGCGTGTATATGTATGGCTGTAACGTACGTGCGTATGTATGGATGCATGTATGCATGCATGCATGCACGCATGCATGCATGTATGTATGTACGTGTGAACGGATTTATGAGTGTACATGTGTATGTATGTATGTATGTATGTATGTATGTGGGAACTGTCGTATGGAAAGATGTCCATATGTGCGTGTGTGCATGCATGCATGTATACATGCATGTGCCGTGCGTACGTATGCATCTATGTGTGTATGCATGCATGCATGTATGTACGTATGTGTCTGGATGTATGTATGTATGGATGCATGTATGTAACGTACGTGTGTCTGGATGTACACTTCTGTGTGTACGCATGCATGCATGTATGTTTGCATGTATGTGTGTACGTATGGTTGTGCAGTGTATGTGTATGTTTGTCTGTATGCAACGTGCGTATGCATGTAAACTTACATGTGCGTATGTATGGATGCATGCATGCGTGCATGCATGTACGTGCGTATGTGTATATGTGCATGTATGTATGTATGGGTGCACGTGTATAGGTATGTATAGATGTATGCATGTGTATATATATATATATATACGTACGCGTGTATGCATGAATGCACGCATGTGTGTATGCATGTATGCATGTCTGTAGGTATGTATTCCCGGATGCACGCGCGCACGCACGCATGCACGTATGTGGATGTGTGCATGTATGCAGGCACGCACGCGTGCATGTATGTATGCATGTATGCATGCACGCATGTGTGTAGGTATGTAGGTATGCAGTCATGGATTCATGCATGCATGTACGCATGTTGATACGAATGCATGTCTGTATGTATATATGTATATATGGTGGATGTCAGTAGGTACGTGTGCATATGTAGTTATGTATGCGTGTGTATATTAAGGTATGTATGTATATATGTGGTCATGCACATTTGCATGAATGTATGTGAGTATGCATGTGTGCCTGTTTGTATGCTTGTTCGTTTGCGTATAGGCATGTATATATGCATGTATCTATGTATGCATGCATGCATGTGTGTCGTTGTCGATCCCATATGCGTGGACTCGGTTTCTTCCCGCCGCGTGAGCCGGGCCAGTGTGCTCGCTTCTCCGCCGCGCGCCTGGCCGCGACGCCCAAAGGTGTGTGTGTGTGTGAATGTGCGCATTGTCGCACTGTTGTGCGCCCCAAGAATGCAGTTTGGCTCGGGCTGCTGCCATGAGGAACGCTAACTGAGGAACGAAGCCCTTTTTTGGCACCAGAAGATGAGGGGCAACGATAGGGGGGGATAGGCATAGGGGGGGATGCATCGACCTGGAATCGGCGATACATCGCCGATAGATCGGCCATAGGCCCCCGAAAACGAATCCGCACCTTCCTGGGCGGGGTTGGGCTATCAGACCCCTATCGGCGATCAATGGGCCATTGGGGGTCGATGCATACCCCCCTATGCCTATCCCCTTCCCTATCGTTGCCCCCGAGAAGAGCCTGGGTGCCACGGAATGGCCTGAGGAACAGCGAGCGGATCCAGGGGCACCTTAGGCCAGGAGCATTTTTATGGACCCCCGAGTCGTGAGGGTCTCTGGGGATGCACGAGCAAACGAACAGCGTAAGTTTATCTTTCGGAGGTCCGCGCGGACCCCTTCTTAGCGCGCGGAGCGCGCAAGGGGCGGCGCCCGAGGCGCGGTCAGGGGGGCACCCGCCAAACCAAAAAATCCGCACGGACCTCCGAATGATGTTGATGCCGTTGTTCTTCTTCGAGAGAAGCCCCCCTTGCCTAGAAGGCCCCCTCGACCTCCTCCTCCTCCTCCTCCTCCTCCTCCTCTTCCTCCTCTTTCTCTTTCCCTTCCTCTTCCTCTTCCTATTCCTCTTCCTTCGCCCTCCTCCTCCTCCTCCCTCCTCCTCCTCCTCCTGCTCCTCCTCCCCCTCCTCCTCCTCCTCCTCCCCCTCCTCCCCGGGGAGGCCTGCGCTGATAAAAGTCAACAACGCCCAACATCCTTTGGGAGGGGACCCGAGTTAAGATGCCCAAGTCATTAGGGATAGGGCGTCTTCTCTGCAGATGTATCAAACCAGCCCGCTTAGATTTATTATCCCTCAGGCAAGCACAGGGACCTCACTTAGGTTACGTCTTCATTGTGTTATTAGGGTTAGGGGTTCCATCATTCTCGATGATGAGTCGAGTTGGACGGAACGAGGGGGGTAGCAATAAAGAAGGGTTCGCGACTTGGCTCGCGTAGCTGGTTTCCCAGGCGCCTCCCGGCGACGGGGGCGGCCACGTTTCGAGGAAGGGGGCCTGGCGGCGGGGCCGAAACCAGCTGCGCGCAGCAAATGTCGTTACCCAGGAGAGCCCAGACTCGAATCGCTAAGTCGGATCGGCGATCGAAATGAATCGGATCGGCGGAAATCGGCATTGAGAACTGGGAATCCAACTCGGAACCCGAGGTCGAAGCGGATCGGAATCGGAATCCATGAACATCCCTGGTTATATACCCCCCCCGTTTCCCAACCCCGCCCGCTCATCCAGCCCGACCGGAGGCGGAACCCTGGAATCGAGAAGATGGTGCCCTCGGGGGTCTGGGCAGGGATCCCTCCTGGGCGCCGCCGTCACTCGGCGAGGCGGGTGACGTGCTACGGCAGCTCACGTCGTGACGACGTGCGCGCTGGCCTCTCGCACCGCGCGGGCCGCTCCCCCCTTGAGCGGTCGCGGCCTCCCGACAGAGCAGATCGCTCGACGCCGGCCGAGTCCGGGCTCCAGCCTTGAACGCCAGTACTGGGAGCCCGCCGCCGAGCCGACGCGGCGCGAACCCGCCCCCGAGACCCGACGGCGCGAACCCGCGGCAGCATCGTGGGACACCGCGGCAGGAGCCCTGGGCCCTGGCCTTCTGCGGCACTGCCCGAGCGCCGGATCGACCGGAGGAGGAGGAGGAGGAGGAGGAGGAGGAGGAGGAGGAGGAGGAGGAGGAGGAGGAGGCAGGGCGCGAAGGGAGCGCACAGCGCCAGGGTGTCTCCGCGGCCGCAGCCATGCGGTGCCACCCGTCGGGCCGCGGGCGCGCCTTGGAGGAGCCGGCCAGCCCGCAGCCCATGCAGCCTCGGCGGTGCCTCCCCCCCCTTCTCGGCGGGCGCCGCCCCCCCTTGACTGCCTACCAGGCCACCCCTACCCCAACCCGAAGACCCGAGTTGGACCCGCATGTCGGGTTGGGGGGGGGGGGTACGGGTTCCACGTGCTCTTGCGCTGTTCCCCGACCCCCCCCCCATCCCCGCTGGAGATGGAGGGCAAATTGGAGCGCTCGGGTTGGGTTGGGGTGGCTTGGTGGGTGGTGACCCCCCTTCCTCACCGCGGGCACGAGCCCCTCGGCCGCGAACTGCCCCGCCGCCTGCGGTCGAGCCAGATGGCCGCCGTGCGGGGAGGAATGGGGGCACGCTCGCAGGGCCGCACGCGCGCCCGGGGAGCGCTCCGCCCGCGGCTGCACCTCCGCGCAGCCCCGCCGTGGTCTGCCCCCTCGTCCCCGATGCCGCGACTGCGGCGGCCGCTGCGCGGCGGCTGCTCGCTCTGCTCGAGGGCTGAGCCATGGAGCGTGCCTCGGTGCATCGATCGATCTGCGGCACGATGCCCCGAAGCCTGCCCGACGGCCTCGCACCGTCGCAAGGCATGCCCGACTCCGAGGCACCCGAAGCGTGCGGCGCCCGACTCCGGCGGGCGACGCCGAGTCAGGGCGCGAACGCGTGCCCGAAGGAGCTCACTCGCGCTCCGGGGGGCGATCACGAACGCGGATTGGGCGCAGCTCGAAAATCCGCAAACCCCCCGCCGCCTCCCCTAGCAACTCGCGCGGCCGTCTCCGCTTTCGGGATGCACCCTGCAGGCAGCGTCCCGCGAGAACGATGCACATGATGAAGGCTGCAGTGGCGAGGCAGACTATGCCAGTGCGCGTGCACATTGACTTTGGAGCATGCTGTGCGGTGTCCTTGGGCGCGGATGCGTGTTTCTGCGTGCCCTCATCCTTCATCCGCTCATGTGCATTTACCCCTGCCCCCCCTCCCTCCCTCCCCCTCCCTCCCTCCCCTCCTGCCCTCCCTCCTCTCCCCCCTTTCCTTCCCCCCTTCCCTCCTGCCATCCCCCTCCCTTCCTCCTCCTTCCCACCCCTCCTCCTGCACGCCCACCCCCTCGTCTTCTGGCGTGCGCTCAGTCTTGAAGGCTCGACATTTGTCCCGCGACCACCGCTGCGCAGAGGACTGGAGCCGGTGGAAGCAAGGCCGAAAAGAGGAGGAGAAGCAGGAGCAGGCACAATAGAACTGAAGAGGATGAGAGAGAGAGAGAGAACAAACAAATAGAGAGCAGAGGAGGAGGAGAAGCAGCAGCAGGCACAATAGAACTGAAGAGGATGAGAGAGAGAGAGAGAGAGAAAAACAAACCATTAGAGAGAGAGAGAGAGATAGAGACGAAGCTATGTAGGGATATATATATAGAGAGAGAGAGAGAGAGAGAGACGGAGATATTACCATAGAGATGGAGCGATGAAGAGGGAGAAGGAGAGATAATCAGAGAGAGAGAGAGAGAAAGAGTGACAGAGAGTGATATAGAGAATGAGAGACAGAGAGACACGGACGAGCGGGTGTAGAACAAATATTCAATCCAATGGGAACTAGTAACCCGTCGAATAATTACCCTGACATGCCCTCTGGCCAACCCTGGCCAAACCTCTCAGCCAACGCTTCTGGCCGGCCAGTAGCGCAACCCTTTCCAGAGGATGTCATCGGGGGGAGGGGGGGAATGGGGGGTGGCAAAATTTACCCCAGATCGAATCGGGAAATCGAATCGGCAAGCGAGACTTGTAGAATCGGCAGACTCCGGCAGGCACATCGCAAGGCACATCGACATCGACGCGACGCCCGGCAGCCGGATCCCGAAGCCTGCAAGAAGAAGCCCAAACCGAAGCCCGAATGCAGAGCCGAAACGAATCGAAATCCTCCCTCCTCCCGCCTCCCGCCTCCCTCCTCCCGCCTCCCTCCTCCATCCTCCCTCCTCCTCCTCCTCCTCCATCCTCCCTCCTCGTCCTCCTCGTCCTCCTCGTCCTCCTCGTCCTCCTCGTCCTCCTCGTCCTCCTCGTCCTCCTCGTCCTCCTCGTCCTCCTCGTCCTCCTTGTCCTCCTCCTCCTCCTCCTCCTCCTCCTCCTCGAGCGAGGACCCCAAACAGCAAATTATTTGAATCTATGCGGCGCACTCTGCCGACCCCTTGGGGCTCATCGGCGTGTGAGATGCTTCGCCCTCCCCAAACCCCGGGGGCGCGCAAACATGGATTGGCGATCCGTGGATTTGGCGCGCGGTCGCCAAGTCCATGGATCGGGGGAGGTGCCCTCCCCGAAACGCGGCCGGTGCCGCCTCGTTCGGCGGCGGAAATCCGCGATCTCTCATGAAAACGAGACCCGTCGCGAATCCACGCCCCCTTAGTTCGGGGGCGGCCAAGAACGGGGCGTCCAAGAGGGGGGGCGCAAATCATGGCCGGCGGCATGTGAGGGGGGGAGGCGGAGCCGTAATGAAGCAAGAGGCGCCATGAGATCTGGGAAATATCATGGCACACGCCATGATCTCCCCCCCCTGGTCATCACCCCCCCTCTTTGCCGCCCCCTTGATCCAGTTTGCGATGGCCTGACCCGGGAGCCTGGTCCGGTCGATTTGGAGGGGGGGGTCCCCCGGGGACCTGCCGACCGCGCCATGGGGAGGGCGGAGGGCTCCAAAACGAGCCAAGAGGGCCCTATAGGAGGCCCCTTGGAGGGTCCAAGAGGGCCAAGAATCGCCGAAGGATCAATCCAAAGCGCCCACGCTGGCCTCCAGACGGCCCAAGAGGCCCCCAAGAGGCCCCAAGAAGGCCCCAAGACGTGTCCCAAGAGGGCCTCCAGAAGCAAAAATCGTCTCGCTCCCTTGGGGTTGATGTGTATTTTCAACACGTTAGCCTCCTGGGCGTCCACAACGTCCAAGACGGCCCAAGATGCCTTCAAGGTCGCCTCAAGACGGCCCAAGGAGCCCCCAAGAGGGCTCCAAGTCGACCCAAGCGGGCCCCAAGACGGCCCAAGAAATCCCCAAGACGGCCCAGGAGGGCCCCAGAAGGGGGAACCCGAACGGATGTTTCGAATTGTCGGGAAGAGAACGCCCCCGGTTGCTCCGAGAAGCCCCCAACAGGCCCCCAGGGAACCCCGAGAGGGCAGCAAAAAGCAAGAGGCCCCCAGGGGGTCCCCAAGAAGTCCAAAAGCTGCCTCCAAGACGCCCACGAGACGCCTCCCACGAACCCCATCGACCATCTGAGTGGCCTCAGACTCGCAGCCCAGTCGCGGTGGCGGGATGTGCCGAAGGCCATTCGATCCGCCGCCCCCTGCTTGCAGGGGTGCACGGCGTGCTGGACGTTTCAGGTTTTGGTTTTGGTTCTTTTTCCAAAAGAACTTCCCAGTGGGCTCCGGCAGAACCCGCCGGCCACCCGGAATTTCCCCAAACGTGCTCAACGACCGCAAAAAATCCTCCAAGAACGGCCGTTTCGCTCGGGACATCCTCAAAAAATCGCGAAGATGGCCCAAGATGGCCTCCAAGTCCGCCCGAGATGGTCCAAGACGGCCTCCAAAACGGCCCAAGAGAGTCCAAGACGGCCCAAGACGGCCCAAGAGGCCCCCCAGAGGCCTCCCAGACGGCCCAAGAGGCCTCCAAGAGGTCCTCCAGGAGAGTCCGAAGAGGCCAAAATCATTGATTTTCCATTGGTTTTTGAAGGATTTTGGCATTTGCGCCTTTTCGGCTCTCCGACGGCTCAAGACGGCCCAAGAAGCCCCCAAGATCGCCCAAGAGGCCCCCAAGAGAGCCCCCTGATGGCCCAAGTGGCCTCCAAGATGGCCCCTAGAGGGCCCCAAGACGGCCCAAGAGGCCTCCAACACGCCCAAGATGGCCTCCAAGACGCCCAAGATGGCCTCCAAGACGGCCCTGGAGCGCCCCAAGAGGGTCCCCCGTTGGCCCAGAAAGGCCCCCAAAACGGCTCCCGACGGCGTCAGACGTGCCAGGAACCCACCAAGATGGCCGAAGTTGGCTCGAAGCTGGCCCAAAAGGGCCCAAGAGGCCCCCAAGAGGGCCTCCAGGAAGGCCAAAAGATGCCAAAATCACTGATTTTCCCAAGGTTTTTGATGGATTTGGGCATTTCCCTTTTTTCGGCCTTCCGACGGCCCGAGACGGCCCAAGAGCCCCCAAAGATCGCCGAAAGATCGCCCAAGAGGCCTCCAAGACGGCGACGATGACCATCAAGACGCCCACGTGTTCCCCGAAGGCTTTCCAAACCGATTCGGGGAACACATGGTCCGATGGCTTGGCAGGTCTGGCCTCAACGTTCGGCCACATAGGCGCTTCCACAAAGGCAGGGGGCGGCGGTGATTCGCCGTAGGCGTCTTCGATCATAATTTTTCGTGTGTTTCGACAGATGCCCGCCGTCTGTAAACGTGGGCTCTTGCCCGTTCGAAGGGGGGGAAGGGGGGGGGCCCTGGGAGGCTGGAGCTCCTGACCACATCCCCAGGGCCTCCGGAGCCCCGCCAGCGGTCAGAGACGGCACAAATAAAGCGCCGAGGCAGTCCAGGACGGCGTCGAGGTAGCCCAAGGTAGCCCCACGACGATCCAAGATGGCATCGACACGGCCCCCCCAGGCGCCCAAGACGGCCCAAGACTCAGCCAGCGGCGCGTCGGAGTCATGATTCCTTGCGCACGCGGACGAGGGGAATGGTTCCTACTCTGATCGCAATCGCCTAAAAGTCTAGTCCACGGGTACTTCACGCCTTTGTGGGCCCCGGAAACGGCAGGGCCGTTTTTTCACCGTTTCCAAAAAAATGTACCTTGAAAATGGAAGCGGCAAAAAAACGGCGACCGGAAACGGCAACAAAAACGGCTCCAGGATTGGAACCTGAGCTGGAACCAATCAAAAAACGGCGACGGAACCAGTAAAAAAACGGCGTCGGAACCGGCAAAAAAACGGCAAAACGGAACCGGTAAAAAAACGGCCCTGTCGTTTCCGGGGCCCACTAAGCTTCACGCCCGTCCTCTGAAACGCTTCCCCCTGCATGTCCCC